AGGCGCATCAGTTTGATTTTGGTTTGCAGGATCGAATGTCCATGCCAATCTACAGACGCTTGATACATGACGTTGGATGGCAAAAAGTGTCTGAACCTTGCCGTCCGAACATTAATGGGCGTTTGGGTGTACGGCTTTGGAGTTGCCCTGATGAAATACAAATGGCATACACGAACTCTTGCATTTCTTCCATCTCCCTGTAACTACTACACCTCTCCCCTCCTCACATAGCGATCTAACTAGCTCGTACGAAGCACATAATGCTTCTAATATGTATATGGGAACGTTCACCAACCAATTTAACAACTAAAAAACTAAGTTTGTTGTTTCATTTGCTAGGCGCAAGAGTTACTGATGGGTCAGATACCCGTTTGCCAGTATTAGCTTTGCTCAAAGAACTACAATATAAAGAAATACATTATCCTAGTAGCTCTCCCCCCATGATTCCAAGATTGCATATTAGGGTTTGTTCTTTTCGGTTTCTCATGCTCTCATTTTATGTATCGTTTTCGTTGGCTGGATTCCTAATGCCTCCATGATTAATTTCAGAGAAAGTTTTTTCTACATTATGCACTTTTGGTCAGTGATTATACACTCCAGTCTATACCTAATAATAAAGGACGGTGTGTTTTTCTGGTTTTTGGTTCATCCACCTACCCTAAGCTGCCCATAAAGTTAAGGTAAATTATTCATCATGATGCCTGTAAGTGAAAAAAAAATCTTCGTTAATTGTTTCTCCATTTTTTCGTCTCTCCACAAAATTGCCCCTAAAGTTGAAATAAATTACCCACCCATCACTTGTAAGTGAAAAAACTCTTCGTTAATTGTTTCTCTGGATTTTTCATCTCTCATCGAAACTGTTCCTAAAGTTGAAGTAAATTGCCCACCTCGCCATCCGTAGAAGTGAAAAAAATGAGTGTTCCTCTGAATTATTCGTATGTCACGGTGCCCTTCGTTTTTCATCCATCGTGAGACTAAACTTATCGTTTAATTTTCATACACACATCGAGGATGTACTGAAGAATACATGCATCAACGATCAAGTCCAACATCAACCCACTGTGAACATGTTAGAATGCATGTGTCTTACGTCCGCATGCGGGCCGTTTGATGCACAAATATTCAAACACATGTATATATATGGAATGCAAATATTTGAAACTTGATTTGAAGACCACGGTTTTATTATCCCATTGCAACACACATGCCCTTTTCCTAGTTGGAAGAATAATATAACTAGCATTGATATCTATAAATCTAGTACCCTTTTGCCTGGTTGTACAATATTCCGATGTATGTGAAAACAGAGGTGTACAAAAACTAAGTAAGTGTCGGTGATTTTATACTTTGTGTGATTTTGAAGATTGTATCCCTCAATATTCCCTCAATGAAGGGAATTGAGTACTTATCGAGGTTAACACGTTAATTTGTAGTATACACGTAAAAACAAATTTGTGCTTAAAAACTCTATTTTTTGAAAATAATGTTTTATATCACTTTAGCAACATAGATTTATTATCATCGGGTTCAACCACACACAAAACGCATGCTCGTACTAACTCTAACAGAACACCACAACTTGACCCCTCTCTACCAAACCTAGCTAAGCCATGGGTAAACACCATTGCCACACCAGAGCATTCTCGATAACCCAAAGACCGGGAGATTTCCTAGAAAGTTCGTAAAATCATGTGTAATACCACCATCGATCATTCATAAATCAAGATCTAACAAGGACAAAGCCTAAATGATATTCACACAACCACTCTATATGTAAATTGGGTGGTCAGCAAAAGGTACTATCCCATGTAAGCCTTCCAAACACGTCTTAGCTTCACCCATCTCAATTGACGTGCAATGGCTGATAGTTCCATGTTGACCATAGTACCCGCCTTATCACCTCGCAAAACCGCTCCCAAAGCACCATGGTTTGTATCTTGAATGAACCTGCATCCACATTAAGTTTTAGCCAACCTTCATGAGGTATCATCTAGTATCCATGGTTTGCATGGTTTGCATCTAATTTGAGGGAGTTCTCATTTGAGATAGGGTCCGCCAGGCGTTGCTCTTTTATATCTAACTTTGTGCGAGACCGCTTGTATAGACTGCAGCAAATTGTAACTTTGAAGGAAAATTGAAGAAGCTTGGATCGACGCCTTTCTGCCGCGAAAAGTAATATTGTTTCTACGGTGTCAACCCGTTGCCAAAGTAAATATTGTAGTTGGGGGGCAACTTGGATTGAGTCTCATTCACTTTTTCCATTATAATAAGTACCTAATCCCGGCTAGAGTTGCCAAGGTCTTGTTTAGAGGGCAAATCTCATGCCTCTTGCGTCACCTCATGGAGCGCCCTCGCCTTTGTGGATTCGGAAACCGGAAATGCCAACTACTCACTTCTTGTTGAGGATGAAAGTGCCATCGGTGATAGCGCCAGCCATTCCCTCATTGAAAAGAAAGCACGCCAACCCTGCTACTAAAGCTAAGGCCAACTGTAGCCCAGTGAAATGAAATACGTATGAAAAATAACATAGATTAATCTTGATGCGATCGATGCAAACACACTTTTTTTCTTAACTTCGCAAATCATCCTAAGAGTGTCATACGAAAAAAAAACGGTGGCACATCTTTCTGTTCATCCTCACAAATGCTACATGTTGAGAGAGCCTCTAGATTGCGTATGTGCATGTTCATCTGGACACCGAGAGATTATGTGGCTAGCTACCACCCAAAAACACGCACCTTGGCAGGGACGTTTGTTTTTTTAGACGACATGCTATTTTGTGTACAACATAACTGAAAGATATGTTCACAATAATTTATACATATGTCTGTAAACATATATGTTTTGTAAGGTATTAAGTACGCTCAAATCTCATGACCCTTCGACTCAATCTCTTAGACGTGCTCATAAGGTAGGGTGCGCGTGTGTGTATGCATGGGATAAGTGTATGTATGCACTTGTTATTTCGCTTGTTATCATCATTTTTTGTACTGTGTTTCTCAAAATAAAGGGGCCGTAACAAATCTTCTTTGGAAGAAGCATCTGGAAGAAGCATTTGTTTCCCCTTCTTATCTAATTAATACTTTAAATCACATTTTTAATTCACACCAGCCGTCCTAGCTCAGTGGTAGAGCGCGTGGCTTTTAACCACGTGGCCGTGGGTTCGATCCCCACGGACGGCGTATTTGTGTTTCTTTTTTGAATTTTGTTGTTATACTTATGATTATTTACCTCTAGGATATTCGGATCAGTTGGCGCATAACGAGTACTATTTCTCATCAGTCCTACATTCTTTACTGGTTGGTTCTTCCTTAAGAAACTTTCATCCATATAGTCACGATTACTTGACATATCAAATCGAAACAATAGACCTAAATGTTTCCCTATTTCTCCAAGACTCTTCCCTATCTACATGTGAAGTAAGGAGTATATGCATATGTTTGGCACAACATTTGTTTCGATGAACATGACAGGTACTAGTATTCAGAAAAGCAATACTACAAATGATTAGATACAACTGAAACAACAAGGAGACCCTAGCTGCCTTTGGCAATCTCCAACGCCAAAAGTACTCAGATTAGCAAGCCGGAGATGAGAACACGAGGCGCTACCAATTAGAGCATGCACGAGCCTGAAACTTCTCCAGAAAGGAACTCATGCATCTCATGCCATTTGCAACCAGGCAAAAGCACGCGACCTCGCGAGATGAATCAACCACGGAATACCTTCTAGCTTCTTTTTTTAGAAGAAGAGAAACACCCTTGTACGCAATACCCTTGTAGCTTCTTCTTTTTTTGAGAAGAGAAACCCCCTTGTAGCTAGGCTCCCCATGACGCTAGACGGCTGGAGCAGTGGTTAGGGTTAAGGGGGTGAATACACTAACAGAAGCGCTGTGATTGGTCGATATAGCGGCCCATGGAAACACAGAGACAATGTACTCGGTCACCAGTTCTCATACATTCAAGGAGCAATATCATTCCCAGTTAAGTTCAGGGTCCGAGTCTGCTAGCATTTATATTTAGGAATATAGGAGCAGTACACATGCTCTTGTTGTGGACATGCCATGTAGACTGCTACCTTCAAGGAGCAACATCAATTCCTGTTAACTTCATGGTCCGGGTCTGCTAGCATTTAGATTTAGGAATACAGGAGTAGTACACATGCTGTTGTTGTGGACATGCCATGTAGACTGCTACCATACGCGGTTGATGAAGCCATTTGAAATCCTACTATTTACATCTGAATTTGTCTACTTCTATTTCATAACACACAATCAAATTTGTACTAGAAATTCAATACAACCCAAAAACAGAACCTGCAAATTGCACCCGCTGCGGAGAGGGGTCGAGTCGAAGCCCATGACATCTACTCCCTCCGTTCCTAAATATTTGTCTTTCTAGACATTTCAAATGACTACATACGGATGTATGTAGACATATTTTAGAGTGTAGATTCACTCATTTTGCTCCGTATGTAGTCACTTGTTGAAATGCCTCGAAAGACAAGTATTTCGGAACGGAGGGAGTACCTCACATAGGCAGTTTCATTTCGAAATTCATCAGGAGGAGACTAGAGAAGCGAATCACTCCAGAACTAATGAAAATGAAAAGGAATAAAAGGGTTTCATAGTACAGATGAATCTGGGATGGACGAACCGGACCACAAAGAGATCACCCATGTCAGCCTGTCAGGGGGTCGGACAAGCATCCACATGGGTAGTAGGTGTCACACAACTTGCAAAACCAGACCTACCACGCATCACAGCACATGGCAAGCGGCACGGGGCCAGTGAAATGGAGTACATACACACATTAGCATGAACTAAATAGCCAAACACTCACATGATGGCAGAATCATGCCACCATCAAACAAGTCCATACATAATCATCTGACGCGCATACAAAAATAGAACACCACACACACACCCACACACACCTAAATCATCATCATCGCATAGCTGCTAGCTACCTCTACAGGTGCAACCCGAATTATTGATTAGATTAGAAGAGCCTGTATGGGGAGGAGGCGTCCAGCGGATGGATGAGGTAGGTGAGCACAAGGGCCACCAGCATCAGCACGTATGCGATACCCTGGTCAATCGACGTGCCTGTGTCAAAACATTAGCAGCAAGGGTTAGTCTAGCTTCACACAAGAAACGAAGCAAGCAAATATAGGGAGCAGAATGAAGCTTGAAAGCAGCAGGTTAGAGATAACAGTTCGGTTTCGCAAACGCCTACGTGAAAGATAACTCAAAAGGAGTAAATAGCAGAGTATGCGATTTGCAGTTGATGACCGTAGTGAAAAACATTTTGTGGGCATTAAAACAGGAATGCCTGAAACTGAAGACTAGTCAGGCGTTTACTTCGAGTAGAATTCAAAGTCGCTTTCAAGAAAGCACAATTCCTGACATCCTTGCAATAAAAGCGTAAACCAGCGGCTGCTGCCAGGTATCATGTATTTCAATGGAAGCTAAACAGACCAAGGGTACCAGTTCTACGGGTGAAAGGGAAGTGCAAACCAACTCAGCTAGTACTACACCAGAAAGGAGGAAGGCAAGATTCTTGACAGATGGGCAGCAAACGCCCTTCCTATGTGGTTATCAATCATATGTGCCCATCAGCGAAATGCCATTTCGCACACTTATCTTGTACTACAACGAATGGCTTACACGTGAAATTCTTTTCTTATCGGTGTTACTCGGAATATATTGCATCAAACATGTGTTGAGCACTTGGCAAGAATGAATAAAACAAGTCCGCAAAAAACCTGACAGAGACAGTTCCTCGTCGCAAACATACTGATAAAATTGAACTTTTTCAGTAACGTACTGTATGAGTCACATTAATTTTGCACAGCTAATTCTTTGTCAAGATATGAGATGTCAAGTATCATCAGGTCATGCAGCTTTGAAGGGGTGGTGTAAAATATCAAGATTTCTAGAAAATTGATTTATTTTTTCAGGTGGAACTTTGAAGTGAGAAATGAGAACAAAATAAAGAATAGCATGCTCTGTCATTTCATTGAATTGCTTATGAGCGTGAAAACACTGCTCAATTCACAAATGGTTTCCGCAGCTTATGTAAGTAGTCATATACCAGGTGGTTCAAGCAGATCAATGGTTTCCCCACATGCAGGGGCCAACTAACTGTATCGTATTGACTCTATTATCGCCACGAGAGGAGTCACGGGAAATGAAATCAAGATCGCTGCAGAGAGAGGATTCCGTCGGAGCGGAGAGGGCGGGTGGCACGGGGCCCACGCGCCAGCCAATGCCGGCAAACGCAAGCCACTGGAGATGGAGAGAGAGAGTGAAAAAAGAGGGTGCGGCGCGGGGGTTTTCTCACCGTCGCTGGAGGGCGCGGGCGCGGGCGGCTGCACGGCGGCGGAGGCCGGCATTGCGATGCCGACGACCAGCACGGCCACCGCCACCAGGCCGACGGAGGTCCACGCCGCCATTTCCGCCGCCTCTCCTCCTAGCTCCTCCCGCCCCCTCGATTCGCCCTCCTGATCCCTCGACCTCCCCTCCGCCCACCGCACCGCAGCGCACCCCCACACCGGAGGCGAGCAGGAGGAGGAAGGAAGAGCAACGAATCGCGGCCCTCCCTCTCGACAAATCCTCCTCTCCCACAAACTCCGGGCTTGGGAATGCGGCCAACGTGCGCGCGGCGCCTATATAGCGCCAGCTACAAGAAAGAAACAGTAACCGAGCGGCGTCAGTGAGTGAAAAAAAGATTAGGCGCCCGTTGACAGGCGGGCCCGGGACGAGCGCTGGTCCCGCGCGCAGGCGGATCGTCTCTGTGCGCGGGATTCGTGGGGACAGATTTGCCAGCCACCGCCCCGCGGGTGGCACCCCAGTCTTTCATACCCGCCGTCGTCTCACTGGCGCGGACGCTCTGGGCGCCACCTGCGGCGACTAGGCGGGTGCGTGAATTGGTACCGTTTGTGGCGAGGGGCGTGGGGCCCGGTCGCATGTGAAACTGCTGCGCGGGGGAGGGTCCCGGGTGCGATGCCATGTCGCCCTTGCTTTCTTTTTGCCTGACGCTGCGCCCACGCGGCCTCGCGCCAGGCTGGGAAGTGGGCAGCTTGGCCGTTTGTTACTAGGTATGTTACCCAGTGGCGTTATTACTGGGCAGGGGCGGGGTGGGGCCCGCTGTGGGCAGCGCGCATGCGCGACGGTTGCGCTAGCGTCCAGCCGGTGTGGCTCACACTCCGGCTCTGCGCTGTCGCGCGCCTACGGCTACGACCCGGGCGCAGATTCCGTGCATGACGTGTGGGCCGCTCGGTGGCTCGCTGCGCGCCGTCGGGTGGGCCTCCCGCGGATAACCGGCGTCCACATGCAAGAACGCTTCTCGTAGTAATATGCGCCCGCATATGCCGTTGTGCCAACGTATTTTTGCCAGGTTTTTTGTGTGTGCATGAGTGCCAACGTATTCGTGTCTTCTCTTAGGCCATGGTCAATGCATAGCTTCAGGGTGATGCCTCACATGCCATGTAGGATCAGAATGACAGAAAAAGAAGATTCAAATGAGGAAGCGGAATCCTCTTCAGGAGGCGGGTGCTTAGAGAGAAAAGTGTGGTTGGATGCATAAAGTTGGACAAAATTGAAGTGAAGAGGAGGGATGCATGTGTAGTGAAAGTCACTTTTTATTTTTTGATGAGGCCCACTAGTAGTAGCTTGTATTGAGGAGAAAAAATTAACACATATACCTCAAATTACTTTATGTCATGAGGCATGTGTATCCATATGTCATCATTGTACATTCCCTTAGAGCAGGGCAACACGTTCTTTCGTCTCGCCGGATGGAGAGGCTATTTTGAACATTCTATTCGTCAAGCTGGGGGTTAGAATTTTCTAGCTTGGGCGTTTGAAAAAATCAGCCAAGTACACCGTTAAGGGCATGCCCGTCATTCAATGGTGTCAGCATACAACATCATGTTGTATATGCAGCGGTAGTTCTACTTAAATAAGTTCAAATATTACACTGGAACATTGTTGTCCGCTTTAATTGTGCATGGATGCTCAATCGGACCTTTCTTCAGTTGTTCGTGAGCTGCTCGATGGCGGATTAGTTGATGGATTTGAACAAACTTTCTGATGAGGAAGTTTGATAGGATTGCCCATGTTCTCAAGTCAAGACTTGCAGCAGCATCGTCACCCTCATCCTCCACGATCATGTTATGCATGATCACACAACAAGTCATCACTTTTCACAAGGTCTCCGCATCCCATTGTCTAGTTGGTCCACGAACAACTGCAAAATGTGCCTGCAAAACTCCGAATGCCCTCTTGACATCATTTCTACGTGCTTCTTGTCTTTGGGCAAAGTGAGCCTTTTTTCTGGCCAACTGGCTTAGAGATGGTGTTGACAAAGGTAGCCCGCGGAGGATATATAATGTCAGTCAGATAGTAACCCGTATTGTACTCATGCCCATTAACTATATAGTGGCAAGGAGAACCTTTTCCTTCAGTCAGCCTCGCAAACAATGGTGATCGCTTCAGCATAATGATGTCATTATAAGACCCGGGCATGCCAAATCCAAAGATCATCCGATGCAACAGCTTCAAGAATTATGGTGGGCTTCTTAACATGGCCTGATATTGCCCTTGTAGAGCTTTTGGGTAGTTCTTCCATTTCCAATGCATGCAATCAAGAGATCCGAGCAAACCTACCCACCCTCTCGCTTCCAAGATTGCCAAGAGCCTCTCGATGTCCGCGACATTTGGTTCTATCAGGTATTGAGGTCCAAACACCAAGACCACGACAGTTGCAAAACTGACCATAGCACCTCTGCATGTGCTCTCAGACATCCATAGGTACTCGTCCCACGAATTAGCGGTCGTGTCATATCTCATATGCAAGCATCTGTTGTGCGGTTGTGCACTTCTGGTAACCAGAGAATCCAATCCTTCTCACGGCGTCCTTTTTCAAAATGAAGTAGTTGAAGGAAATATGCCTAGAGGCAATAATAAAGTTGTTATTTTATATCTCCTTATTCATGATAAAGGTTTATTATTCATGCTAGAATTGTATTGATCGGAAACCTAAATACATATGTGAATACATAAACAAATACGGTGTCCCTAGTGAGCCTCTACTAGACTAGCTCGTTGATCAAAGATGGTTAAGGTTTCCTAACCATGGACATGTGTTGTCATTTGATCACGGGATCACATCATTAGGAGAATGATGTGATGGACAAGACCCATCCGTTATCTTAGCATATTGATCGTTCAGTTTATTGTTATTGCTTTCTTCATGTCAAATACATATTCCTTCGACTATGAGACTATGCAACTCTCGGATATTGAAGGAATACCTTGTGTGCTATCAAACGTCACAACGTAACTGGGTGATCATAAAGATGCTCTACAGGTATCTCCGAAGGTGTTTGTTGAGTTTGCATAGATTGAGATTAGGATTTGTCACTCCGAGTATCGGAGAGGTATCTCTGGGCCCTGTCAGTAATACACATCATAAGCTTGCAAGCAAATGACTAAGGAGTTAGTCACGAGGTGATGTATTACGGAACGAGTAAAGGGACTTGCTGGTAACGAGATTGAACTAGGTATGAATATACCGACCATAGAATCTCGGGAAAATAACATACCGATGGACAAAGGGAATTATGTATGTTGTCATAACGGTTCGACTGATAAAGATCTTTGTAGAATATGTAGGAACCAATATGGGCATCCAGGTTCCGCTATTGTTTATTGACCAGAGAGGTGTCTCGGTCATGTCTACATAGTTCTCGAACCCGTAGGGTCCGCATGCTTAACGTTCGTTGACGATATAGTGTTATATGAGTTATATGTTTTGGTGACCGAATGTTGTTCAGACTCACAGACATGATGAGAGTCTTGAAATGGTCGAGAGGTAAAGATTGATATATAGGACGATGGTATTTGTGTAGGTTAACGTGGCAGAAAACAAAAATTTCCGACCTACGCACCAGCCCAAGACCACTATGGAGACTGCATACAAGGTTTGATCTTTTTCGTTTCCGACTCATAGCGCAGCAGAAGTAGAGTCGATGTCAATCGGCGGTGTAGATCCCCGCAGCTAGGATTTACAATCTCCCAACCGCGAGGATGTACTCCCTCATCTACCCCACGGACAGTCCTTCGGGAAGCGGTCGGACAGTCCCTCGGACTGTGTCGCGGACAGCCCTTCAGGAGGTACTCTCAAAACTCGAACGGTCACTCAAACAGCCCTTCGGGAGGACTCACAGAACTCGGACCGCCACTTGGACAGCCCTTCGGGAGGCACTCTCAAAACAGCCCCTCGGGCACAAGGATCGAAACTACGACCTCTCTACGGGGTTGCACACATACGGTGTCATCTATCCGGCAGGGCTTCGCCGTCTAGAACTAGTTCCTGCCGGAACCCAGACAGCCTTTCGGCTCTACAAAACTATTTTGCGGGGAGAGAGAAGAGAAGCCAGATCATAGCATGACACTTGTATGTGAGAAAGAGTGTGTCTTTAGGCAGCCCCCTCCACCCCTATTTATAGGCCAATCCCAAGGGTGGCTTCTCCAAGAAGCCAAGGGGATAATACCAAAAGGCCCTCAAGGTGGCTTCTCCAAGAAGCCAAACAAAAGGCACTTTCACTATTCATGACGACAATTTTCAGTGTTCGTTCGAACTGAAAATATTTATGTGGGCTCAGAACATTTCCAGTACCCACAAAAATAATTTTCAATGTGTTTCGAAACAATTTCGGTTTAGTGATTTTCATCTGTGCAAAGCAAACAAGAATGCGTTTTCACTATTCATGAAGACAATTTTTCGCGTCCATTAAATCCGAAAATATTTCTATGGGTCTTAGAATAATTCCAGTACCCACTAAAATGATTTTGGATTCGTTCCGAAACAAATTCGGATTAGTGAATTTCATCTGCGAAAAGCAACCAAACCGGTACCGGCAGCTCCGAAACATTTATGGTTTTTATCCCGAAAAATTCCCAGAAGTTTCCAAAATAATTCTGGCACCCTCCAAGAATTATCAGGCTTGTCCCGAAAGCAATTTGACTTAATGGTATATCCCGAAACAACTTTTCGGTTTTACGAAACTATTTTGTTATTCTCTCTCCAGAACTATTCCATTATCTCCGAAACTTTTTCGGCAAATTTCTCTCGGACTCCCTGCCTAGTATTTAGCAAATAGATGACCCTTAAGTGTGTGACCCTATATGTTCGGTGAAGCATAGACATGACCGGAACACTTTTCGATCAATGATCAACATCGGAGCCGTGGACACCCATATTGACCCCTATACCCACACGAATGAATATTCGAGTGAACCTCCAGTTGCCATGTGCTATTCCTGTTGCTTCGTGATATGTTACAAATACCCGAGGTGAGACATGTTGGCATCCCCGTGGATCAACAACTTGTCCACTATGCCAGTTACCTCGTTACCGGTATTGTTCTCTTTTCTCGTTCTCGTGTTC